CGATCTACAAAGCCACCTATCTAGCAATCCACTAGTACCCCGACCTAACGATCTACCGATCCACCGATGTAAAGATTTATCGATCCACCGATCTAGGGATCTACCGATATTCAATTCCATCGATCTACAGATCCATACATCTAGCGATCCACAGATCCACTGATCTACTGATCCATCGATCTACCAATACACCGGTCCACCAATCTAGCGATCTACCTATGCATCGATCTAGCGATTAACCTATCAACCAATCTTCCCATCCATCGATCTAGCGATCCACCTATCCACCAATCTGACGATCTACCGATCCATTGATCTAGCGATCAACCGATCTACCGATATTCTGATCCATCGATCTACAAATCTATAGATCTAGCGATCCACCTATCCATCCATCTACCGATCCATCTACCAATCCATCCATCCATCCATCCATCCACCGATCCATCCATCTACCAATCCAATCCAATCTACCGATCAATTGATCCATCGATCTACCGATCCACCAATCTCCTGATCCATCGATCAAGCATATAACGATCCACCGATCAGTCGATCTACACACCCAACGATCTAGCGATCCACCGATCCACCGATCCACCGATCCACCGATCCACCGATCCACCGATCCACTGATCTAGTGATCTACCGGTCTACTGATCTAGCGATCTTCGGATCCATAGATCTACAGAGCCACCTATCTAGCAATCCGCCAGTACACCGACCTAGCGATCTAGCGATCTAGCGATCTAGCGATCCATCGATCTAACAATCCATCAATCTAGCGGTCTTCCGATCCAACGATCTACAGATCCACCGATTTAGCGATGTACCGATATATCCATCTAGCGATCTACCGATCCACCTATCTACAGATCAACTGATTTACTGATCCATCGATCTACAGATTTATCGATCTAGGGATCTAGCGATTCAGCAATCTACCCATTCAGCGATCTAGTGATTTACCGTTTCGGCGATCCGGCGATGTACCGATCCATCGATCTAGCGATCTACCGACCCATCGATCTAGCTATCAACGGATCTACTGATTTTCCGATCCATCGATCTAGCGATTATCCGATCTACCGATTATCGGATCCATCGATCTACAGATATGTAGATCTAGCGATCCACCTTCCATTCATCTACCAATCCATAGATCAAGTGATCCATCGATCCACCGATCTACCGATGCACCAGTGTACCGATTCATCGATCAAGCGATATAGCGATCTATCGATCCATCGATATACGGATCCAACGATCTAGCGATCCACCGATCCACGTATCTAGTGGTCTACCGATCCACTGATCTTGCGATTTACCGATCCATCGATCTACAGAGCTACCTATCTAACGATCCATTAGTACACTGACCTAGCGATCTACAGATATACGGATCCAGAGATCTAGCAATCTACCGATCAACCAATCTACAGAGCCACAGATATTGCAATCTTCCGATCCATCGATCTGCAGATCCATAGATCTTGCGATCCACCGATCCATTGATCTACCAATCCATCGGTCTACCGATTCATCGATCTACAGATCCACCTGTCCAGCGATCTAGCATCCGTCGATCTACAGATGCATCAATTTACAGATCCATTGATACACCGATCCAGCGACCTACCAATCCACTGATCTACCGATTGAGCGATCTAGTGATTTACTGTTGCATCGATCTAGCGATCCACCGATCTTGCCATTGTCCGGTCGATCGGTCTACAGATCCACCGATCTACTACTCCACCGATATAGCTAACTACCGATTCATCGATCTACAGATTCATCGATCCACCGATCTAGCGATCCACAGGTTCACATATCTATCGATCTACCGATCTACCGATCCCTTATCTATTAGATCCATCGATCTAGCGATCTACCAATCCATCGATCTACAGATCTACCGATCTATGGATTCACCGATTTAGCGATCTACCGATCCATTGATCTAGCGACCTACCGATCCATCGATCTATCGATTCATCTTTGTAGCGATCCAGCGATCTACAGATCTACCGACTTAGCGATCCACCGATTTCAAGTTAAAATTTGCTTACATGATTTTAAGTTTTCAAATTTGCGTACAGAATTTTTTTGAATCCCTCAAAAATGTGATGTGTTGATGTCCGCAAATGGCAAATTAATTAATCCGCCGAGGCCGATAGCCCGAGATCTACACTCGGCAGTGTTTCTTTAGATCAGACGAAAGCCTAATCCAATAATTGTTTTATTATTCATTCAAAATATTTACAACTTAAAAACATTCATTGATGTATGTAAGGTCCCGTGTTCTGCTTATTCTTTTTTTATCTGTTGGGGGTATTTTTGCTATTCTTGCAATGTTTTTGGGCAGCCGTTTCACTATTTTCTCCTCGCATCTGGTGAGATCTTCTGCCATTTTAAAGCCTGTGCCAAAACAGCTGAGCTACCGCGTTTACTGTTGTACCATTTACTGTCGATATCTGTACAATTGACGCCAATTGTAATGATATCGGCTTCCAAATTTGGTCAACAGTGGCTTGTTATGAAGAATAATTAGCCGAAGTAGATTTAGCCTATCAGAAACGGAGAAATCTTTTGAATGAGTTACAACTATTCACTCGGTGGCAAGCAAAAATAATTTTTATGTTCGAATGACGAGAACAATTTCCCACTTGCTCGCTACACTCACTCGTGAGATATTATCCTTGCTTCTAGAACGTAAAACTCATACCCCGAGGTGACGTGCGACTTTTTTTTATTCATTATCAACGGTAAATAAACATGGTAGAGATTGGGTTTAATTCTAGTAATGGCTATTTTAACTACTACAGCAATACCTTATACTCGGTGCCCATACATTAGGTCGATTGCCAAATTTCAGTTAAACTGGTACGTTGTTTATAAAGAGAACTCCTTTACCGACTGACTAAAAACATTGTACGCGGGATTATTTTCAATACGAACGTGTGAAGGCCACACATCTTTAAGCGCGATCAAAGTAAACTTACAAATTTACCTTTCAGATTTGGTAGTTATAAAAAAACTTTCTGTAGATCTCTCGAATTTAAAGCAAGCCTCGTCAGCTGAGTTTTCTGCTCTATCTTGCCATAACAATAATAATGATAATAAATTTTATTCACGTGTAAGGATATTTAGCTTACAAGCTAATCATAGGACACTAATGACGGGCTGCAATTTATATCTACAATAATCTCTCTTATTCTATTGTTCATCTCATAGTTAAATAGAGCATAGTTTATTACGGCACAGCTCTCTTGGAAAGCAAACCTATTTCTACCTATTTCTTCTCCATTCACATTATCTACAAAGTATCCACTTAATTTTTTTGTGATATTATATTATTTCCAAAATACTTGGTGGGAGCCAAGGAACACCCTATGTTTGATTTCCTCTCCTTTACATCTCCCGCCCCAAACTCTTGCTGAGCCCAACCCTATTCATTTCTTAATCAGTTTCGCAGAGACTCCTACTTCATTAACCTTTGCAAAGGCGGATTCCAATGGTGACACCATTGCTCGTTATGACCAGTCAAATATAATACATAAGAAAAATACGGCATCCCAGGTCCCCGAAAATAGCGGTAGTATCGATTCCACAGGTGTTTTAGGTCCCCGTAAAACACTTTATTCCATATAATAAGTAATAATGATATTGGGCGTTTTCCATTTAACCCACAATTTCGGAAATTTTGGTTGGTACGGGACCATTTCGGTTTGGTCCAAGCGAAATATCAGGGACCAGCTTTGAATGGTCCACTTTGACCGGTCCGGTTATCTCGGTCGGCCGGACCGAAATGTCCCTTTCCATTAGACAAAATTGTTTGTCGCCTTTATCGTTGTATTCTGCTTACAAGAACAATAACCAACCGTGTGGTCTCTTGGGTCGGGTCTGTAGGCAACCGGAATGTACCGCGAAATTAGCCTGAGATCATGCCCTCTCCCTATTATCCCTTTATGTCTCTCACGGGAAGAGGGCATGATACATTTCTTTGTCGGATCACATATAAAAAAGCCAGAATCTGGACTTTTTTCTGATTGCATAGGAAACAATATGGATGATTTGAGCTGTTCCTATTGGCCAAAATTCTGACATCCGTTCGTTGTTGTTGATTTCAGTCTGCATTGTTGCTTGCGAAACACAGGCGAGTTCGTTTTGAAATTTCTGCCGCATCAGTTTTCTTGCATTTGAAGAATGCCTAAGTAGAAACTTCATCCATTGAAATATTTTCCATCTGATCGTATACTAAAAAGTTGCAGTCAAAAATTCACCGATCATTTGAATGCAATTTGATACCGGCTACAAGATACAGAGGCGACAAACGGGTTCAGTTTTTATTTAAATAATCAACTCACGAATGGAATGTTGACCAGGTTTGATTGTAATTCCTCCTTCAGAAGCCTGCGAATTATTCTGAGCGATCTTCGCTTTCACAACACCTCTCAGTTCGTGAAAAATGGTGCTTCAGCCTAGTTTTTTTCACTGCTTTCGGCACAGAACGAAGTCAACAGTCAATGAGCTTTTGCCAGTAAATTCGTTATTATTTGTAGCTGTTAAAGAAAGCGCCATCTGAACATGGACGTACTTAAAAATTTTCTTTTCCCTAAAATTGATTTCAAAAGAGACATGATTCGCGCCAAAATTTGATTCCCGTCTTCTAAACGCAGATTGGCTAATAACATGACAGGTCAAGCCGACGTTAGATTATGTAAAGTAGGGGGCGGTTGAAAGCTTGTTAAATAAATGTATCAGGCGTTATTTTTTTCCCCTCTAGCCAAAGAAGCAAAGAAGCCAAAAAAATAAAAAAATAACGCCTGATCTCAGGTTACCGCGAAATGGGCACGTGGAATTTCCAAAATTTCAAAGCGGAATTTTTGTTGAATGGAAAGCGCCCATTAATAATAATAATAATAATAATAAATATTTGTAAAATTTAAATAAATAAGTAGTTAAATCATAAATAGATGAATCAGTTCCAGCATAGTTCATTCACAATCTGAACCTTGTTGACTAAGATTATTATATTTTCTGTCTGAAGCCCACGACTGCTTTTCTCCTGAGCCAAACACAATGTAAAATATAGCTCCCAGAAGATACATTACTCCATTGATTATGAAAACTATCTTCCACTCTAAGTCAGTCTGTTGAAAGAAAGCAAAACAAGGCAAGATGAATTCCTTGGAGTTATTTTTACTAACTAGGGCGATTTTTAATCCCTTCTCGAAAACAAATTGACTCTTAATGCTTGAAAATAAGTGAAAGTTCCAATTCTATTTCTAACAAGTGAAAATGTATTTCTACCCTGGGTATCAGAGATTTTCATGCACAACCCCTAAGCCTGTCCGCCCGCACGCGATTAAAAAAAAAACGGGTGTTTCTTGGTGTTGCTTCAATTTTAAAGCCAATTTACTTGGTTCGTATTTATTCCAACCAAAAGGATGTTGACTATACAGCATGTTAGCTTCCAATATTAGAGCCAGAGTTGAAGCCCACACTCCCTTGTTACTTGGACAATTTGCTCTATTTCTCTCCCAGCCTCCTATCCCTAACACTTTAGGGGGCTTCTTCGCCAGAGCTCGCCAGGATCTGCGTTACAAGGTTTTAGTGCTATTTTTGTTGTTTTGTGTGTGAAAAAATATTATCATTTGATTATGGGGAAGAGATGCTCATTTGTATTAGCTGGCAGTGATGTAGAGGATGGGATGAGTAGTGAAGTGGAGAAAGGGTCGTAGTAAGGGGGAACCGTCAGCCGTCAAACGGCATAAAATTTAACCGTCAACCGTCAAAAATCCAGATTAATATTAACCTTCAAAAAGTTTTAAGGTAATTCAAATCTCACTATTTCAGCTGACCTTTACGCGGTTCTTGCTCTTGAAGAATCTCTTAACTGAAAACACTCTTTCTAGACTTTCCAAGACCACACAACTTGCTTACATCAAAAACCATACATAGTATTTCAAAATTTTACATAAGTGAAAGGCCAAGACAACCTACAAATCAACAATCGTAAGTTAACACTTACCTAAACTTTGGGACTAAATTTCCACTTAATAGCCGTCAAACGTCAAAAGCTCTAAAATTTAACCGTCAACCGTCAAAACTGGAAAAAAATTACCGTCAAAGCTACCACCCCACTGAGATCCTCTGTTTCCGGTCTTGCAGAATGCTTATTTCAGAAAAATACTAGTCTGTGCACAGAACCCCCCTCCCCTCAGCAAAAATCGGAGAACGGGCTGAAATATACTTACGTGGTGTTTCACAATGAATCCCGTCAGGGTGGGTGAAATAATTCCTCCCAATGTCGATGCAAGATCGCTTATTCCGAAGAGTATACTGGCAAAGGGTGGGGCAATGTCAAGATGATTTACAGCGAATCCACTGATGATCAATCCGTTCAGTCCCATCCCAATAGTGAATAAAGTCACAGCTATCTCAGGATTGTTGGTAAAATTTGCTACAAGGAAAAAGACAGCTGGCGCAAGAAACCCTATTAAAATATTTTAAAAGGAAGGATCAGTGTTTAGTGACAATCTACTTTTTTTATAGCAATTAATATTCCATTACTTCCTGTTATTCTTTTAGCTTTGTACAACCGCCGATAGTTACGAAGAGTTAATAACTTTTACAGTTGTTTTGGTTACTCTGTGTAAAGCATGTTATTATCAATTCTTAGTTCAACACGTGTTTCAGCTGGGGTCGTTGATAAAGAATAGCAGGAGATCTCCCTCTCTTCAGATATCCAAGACCTTTTTTACAATGACAGGGCGATTACAACGATTTGTATGGAAAACCACTCAAACGCCGTGACTGGGTGGCAAGAGTTGTTTTTAGCACAAAAATCATTCTAATTTTCGGCGGCCGTTGCAATCGCTGCTTTTGAGATGTATGGCTAAACATTTACAGGTTACCTAATTCTAATATGCTCTCTCAGTTCCTGCTACTAAAATTGTTCAAAAGCGAATTGTTTTCGTGTTTACCAAAAGTTGATCACGTGATCAAATCATGCAAAGAGCCTATTGGCCAATAGCTGACAGGCGCGTCCGCAGCAACGATCCCAGAATTCATAGCGGGACGCATTTCGGCTCCAATTCATTTCTCGTTTTTAAAGTGGCGAATGGAAAGTTGTTGTCTACTTGTTAAATGTATTATTATCTTATTAATATATATCTTTAATGAATTATAGCAAAACGAGGGGATTACCTATTGTATTGAACATTTTCCTCACTGTTCCTGTACTGAGATAATGTTTACGAAAGTAGTCCGCCAGTTGAGCTCCAGCTATCATTACAAAAAACGTAACGACGTAAGGTATGGTCGAAGCGACGGAAGTCTGAAGGAAGAAATATTATCAAACAAATAAACAATCGATCAGCTTTAGATGAAAGTAGATACACTTTCAAGCATAAATATAAGTAGGCAATATAGAACAGAGCAGTGTACCTTTCTTACTCACTTTTCTACCCGTCCTCCAATAAAAACTGAGTTGGTATGAAGAGGTATTTTATATTATTAGAGATTGGAACGCTCTCCACGACATGAAGAAAATCTGTTTTCTTTTCCTGCTAGTATTCATACAAAGGATGTTGCGGGACTAGCTCAGTCGGTAGAGCTCTTGACTGGAGATGGAGAGGTTGAGGAATCGATCCCCGGGACCGAATCGAAACTCAAGTTCTTTTTAAAAAATGAGAAATTAAGACTGACTGCGTTTGCTGCAAACGGCTAGACTTTTGCGTGGATCGGATGACCACGTAAAATGGCAGTCCTGTCTCCAATAGGGGACGTAAAAACAGTGTCCTCAGTTAGTACTTCCATGAGAAATATTTGACACTCAAACAAAATGCGTTTTTCTTATGATTTTTTATTACATATTGATTTATTTTCAGTTAACAAAGCGTATCTAATGCTCTAATCGATTGAAATGCTCTAATCGATTGAAGCGATCCTTGTTTATGGGTTTGAGGCCCAGACTCTCACTAAAACGAAAAAGACCCGTACATTAGAATGTTAGGGATGATACCAATCCGTCTTGCCTTCATGTAGGCAGCAGGAAGAGACCAGTTTTGTTTTTTTGTTTGGCGCGAGGTATCTGAATCCCTTTATTCCAGCCAAAATGTTTGCTCCACGTATAGGTAATAGTATGATTTGCAGTGATATTTGGCATACTACGAGTGATATTTCAAAATTGTTATGCGTAATTTCACGAGCCGATAGGCGAGTGAAATTTGAGACAATTTTGAAATATCACGAGTGGTATTTATGCCAAATATCACGTACAAATCATGCTATTATTTGTTTATACTACTATCAGCAAAAGGTTTGTAATTTTCACATGTAGGTATTGCTCTAAGCCAATCAAATTGCAGAAATTTCTCATGTAGAAGTATAAATTCCCTAATCCCAGCGAGTTGCTCGGCTAATCCCGAACATACAGTCAAGTTTCTTAAAAAGATTCAAATTTCACTCTTCGTCGAAGACCCATGAGGTAGATTGTCGGATTCCAAAACTTGCACTTGCACATCAACAACTGACAGGGGATCATATTTACTTTACAAAAACGCAGCTCACTGGTAAACATCGATTCTTTAAACTAGCATTTCGTGTACCTATCATGAATAAAGAGAGATTAAGAGTCACGTTTACGGCAAACAGCAAACATCAGTGAGATTCAAGTTGAGAATTTCTTACATCAGAAAATAAGTAGATAAAAACTGTCCAGAACAATTCTTATGGATAAAAGTGGCGTGAAACTACTTATTTTTGAGTAGAAGTAATAAACAGAAAACTTGATCACGTGGTACATATTCACGTTTCACGTGGTACATATTCATGTTTGCCGTTTGGCGTAAACGTGAATCTTTTAATCTCGCTAAAAAATACCTTCCGTGTCTCACTGGTATAGCCTATCCCGAAACACCAATTGAGGAACAACAAAGCCACATACCTCCTTGAGATCCAAATTTAGCCGTTGACTGCTATACAGGGGTAGCTCTGATAACATGGTATATAGTCCCCATCCATGGGTGAAATGAGCCACCACTATGGCCCAGAAGGGAAGTGAGCTGAAGATTGCCTTCCACGGAATAGAAGTATGCTGTTCATTAAAAAAAAAATCAACAAAGCAGCAAAGAGTTTATTTAATCTAAACGAGGATTCTAATATCCGAATCAAATGGGGCTATGCCACAAGTTTGCTATCTTTCTGAAAAGGCAAAAAATATTATATAGGAATTGAAAATTGTTTCCTGTCGTCTGTCGCTACGGATGGCGTCATGTAAGGTTTCGTGTAAGTGTAATTAGTAGAACCCGACTACAATTCAAAGTAGACAGACTGCAAATTATAGTAGTTGCTAAAAATATATCTACGTGTCCCAACTGTTCATCGATAACGGAGACTGAGCTAGGGGGCAACGACAGTTTTCGGGAATATCGGGAGACTATTTTAGAAAGAATGTGACGAAAATTTGTTTTAAAAACACGGGCGAACATCTAAAAAAACGTTCGTTGCCTACCTTTTTCCTAGAAAGGCTCGACTGAGCCTTTTTTTCTGGCTGAAATTTTCGAAAAAGAAGATTACGGAATAGACTTAACACGGCGAACGGATGAAAAATTTTTAGGGGATAAGAATAAACCTATTTCAACAATTTAAATACAAAATCGTTTAACAAAGTCGATGTTGAAGTGGGACTATTCGTTGGCCCCCTATTAAGTCGACAAATAACTACATAATTAATCAAAATAGCACAAACGTGTCCGTGATGCACTGGCCTAAACAATAAAAGGCTAATTTTGTCATCAGTGTCATCCGTAGTATAATGTGGTCTTTTTACGGGAGTATTGTAATCAGCATATTTCTAAACTCTAGTCTAGTCTCTCTGCCGTTGTTGCTTTTATAAGTCAGTAGTACCTTTTCCTGAATGTCCGCAGCTAAGCTCATTTCAATATATTCGACTTCTTCTCGAGTAATCCAGCTTTGTTCGGAGGGTGAGTTTCTCACCAGTGCAAGCCAAACCAAGGACCAAATTACAGCGCAAGCGCCTGACAAAAAGATAAAACTAAATATGATATAAAGACCCTCATCCTCTTCTTCTGGGGTACCAATACGTGTCATAGGACTTGGTCTTTTTGACATGATTCCATGAGTTTTTGAGAAACTTAGATTGCCTGTCTCATAAGCAAGTCAACGTACATTGTACTATGTGATTCAGACACGCGCCTTTGTGTTTGCGTTCCTTTCTTTCACTTATTGAAGCGCTTTGCGTTAATCCATTCCCGGAAAGAATTTTTTCCCCGCTTGACTCACATTCCCAGTGCTCCACAAGAGGCTTAGGATTTATGGACAAGTTTAACTGCCAGTATATGTTTAAAGCCAGTTCGACAGGGTAATCTTCCTGTCCAGACAAAATCCTAACACCTACAATACTGAGAACAGATCTCTGATTAACAATTCAAGCAATAAAGAAGCCAAGCAAAGGAGATGTTAAAAACGTGTCGATTCAAAAAGAAATATCAGTAAAATGGTTATTAGTAAGATCTTCGTTGAGCATGCGCTGAATGTTGCTTAGATACAGTTTCTTTGTTGAGCATGCGCTGCATTGTGCTTAGATACAGTTTCTTTGCTGAGCATGCGCTGCTTGTTTTCTAGGAAAAATTTTCGAACTCATGCCTAAAAACAGTTATAACCGTCGGTTTATCGATAAATGGATGTTTGAACTCGACAAACTAGTTTGACGCGGAGAGAAAACAAGATTGACCAATCCAGAGGTTAATTCAGGCAGAGCCTCAATCAAGAAGAAGAGAGAAGGAGGCTCTGATCGTGAGATGCAAAATGAACAGTAGGTGTTGCCTAGTTAGCCCTGCACGGCGTTTTCCCAGCCCTTCTCGGTCAATACATTTCGTTGACGTATCCGAGGCGAATGCGCGGACCACGCGACCCGGCAGGCATTGGCTGCGCGAAATACTGAGGCTTAGTAAATAGGCAACAGTAGGTACATGTCATTTAAGTTATACACAAAGGTGAAATACAAACCAAAAACATAAAATATTGACGGCCATCCATAGTAGATTGCAAGATATCCTGAACAGAACATGGAGACAATTATTCCCACGTTTCCTCCTATAAGAGTAAAAATGGAACTGAGTTTAAACGTGTTTTGATATGACAAGAGATGTGATGGTGAATTTGACACAGCCGGTTCGGAAGAAAAAATCCGAGTGCTTCCTACAGGAGTCGAACCTATGACCACCTGTTTACTGGTCCAGATAGCTTAGCCGACAGTTAGAGCACCTACCGGTTGTTTCGATACAAATTTATTCATTCCAAGTGCTTGGCTTAAAGAACGAAAATATTCATCCAAAATGTGTCTCCTGTTCACTCGCATACTGTACTTGAAGAGAAAAACATTTTTGTGCAATTTCACTGCTTGAGTTATTGTATCGAAACGACCGGTTTCCATCTGGACTAGTAACTAGATGCTCAAAGGTTCGACTCCCATTGGGGGTCACTCAGATTTTTCCTTCCGAGCCGCATGTGTCACTGACTGAAAAATCATTTTTCGTGTATTGAAATTTTTTTCGAGCCAGCATTTCAAACTGTTTAGGAAAACAGCAAATCTTCCATAATTTTGAAAGGAACAATTACCTGCAAAGTTTAAAGCTCCTAATTTACTTCTCTCTAAGGGAGGTGCCCACAGACTCCAGAAGGCGTGGCCAGCTGGATATGACGAGCTCTGAAAGAGAACATTATAAATTAACAGTGTATTGGTGAGGGTAATATCTAACTATTAAATGGTGTACAGCTAAAATGACAATCTTAACTTCCAAGCACTTTGCGCTTTTATTTTACATGTGCAATTTTCTCTCGTCTGCGGTCTGACCTCCTACCCGCCTCAAGTACACCTGTAATCCACCAACTAAGCTAAAACCGGGAAACACCCAAGGAGGTGTCATCACTCACGTACAGTGACAAATAGAAATAAAAACTGAATAACAAGTCAAAGAATTCTACAAGCTTGAAGATTGTCTATACAATATCTATCGCTGTTGCATCAGTAAAATGACTTCACGAAGTAAATACTAGGTACTATGTTTTTACCTCAGCCAACCCTACTGCTACCCTCAGTGCAATCAAAAGTCCCACATGTATCCGAGCAGCTAGAGGAGTAAAAAGAGTGAAGGCGCCTGTGCCACCCACAGACAACCCAATCATCGTGGCGCCACCACATTTTCGCGCCAAATATCCACCTGGTATGTTCATTAACATGTAGCCAACATAGAAGGAGCTCAGTACGATACCTGGGAAATATAACAAATGAAAATGTCTGAAAGCAGGAGCCGATTCCTGTTGAAACCTATCAGGGTCTCGAGCGGTATTCGCAGCATCCAGGATTTGACCAAAATGATGACCGAACAGATACAAATTTTATAGCGCTGCTTAGAATACATTTCTTGAAATTTAAAAGTACTCTGGATAGCCTAAAAAGTGTTTTCAATGTATGTAAAAGAAGACCAGTTGTTCGGTGCCCCTGACAGAGATACCTGTCACGCCAATTACCTTGTAGCTGGGTGCTCCATGAAAATTCAGCAGTTTCCTAGTGTAAAAGAAAAGGACCGTGAGCAAGCCCTTATTGATAATGAAGAAAGGCTTTTGCACTGAGCAATAAAGATATGAAATCGATGCCAAAGCTATGAATAATTTATCAGCATACTGCTCTGCAAAAGCAGACGTATTACCGATCTTCGCGACGACCGGAAAATACGTCTCGCAGGCTAGCTTTCCGCATTTTCTGATTTAAATTGGAAGATTTCACTATTTACGAGTTTACTTTTTCTCTGACACAGGGGAGATATAATTCAATGGGAAAGCTAATTAGCTTTTATAAATTCCTTGAAGCCCCGAATTTATGGTGTAAAGTTCTTCCCAAAAACCAAACCAAACCCAATACAGCGAGACTGGTTAATTTTATTTAACTGGTTTTCTTTATCAAGCATGTAGTATGGGGAGTTCTTGTGGATTTTATGATTTATTATCACATGGCTCCCTTCTGCACTAAAGCGTAAAATGGTCCTCTTTAGCAACGCAAGCATGAGCATCAAGGAGCTTATGCACATGCGCTAGTTGGTAGTGAGGATGGCCTCAAGGATGGGCTTAGCATAACTATACGTATGACAAGTTCCCTGGCTGGGTACTCTTATACGGGGTCCGCCCCAAGGTCCAACCCGTTACCCTTTTAAAACACATTTTGACGGAAATTCAAAAGGTAACCCTTGGTACCCTTTTCACATACCTAGTTTAGATATTTGCATCCCAATTAACTGCTGTAAATGCACTGGCTTTAAAATATGAATAAATCACAAAACCAGAACTTTATTCGACTTTTTCACAGTGGTAGAATGAATCTGTTAGCCCTTTTGAGCCTTTTTACAGACCGAAATGACAGATTTCCCTATACCCTTTCATCATGTACACTTCAACTGGTGAAACCCCTACCTTTCGTATTCTGGTAGGGCCTCTCTGTATAGACCTTTGCAGGAATAACCCCCTCCGGTCTAGTTCTCACAAACTAGTTAATTTTCAGATCGATTTTCCCAAGATTTTTGGCTATCAAATAAGTCTTCCAATCAGGCTGTAAAAACTGGAGACTAGAAAATAGTATATTTCTGGTGTTTTGATAGCATCTACTTTTTCTTTCTTGTCATTATCGTACTATGGATGCGCACAATGAGATACTCGGACGGAGCGTCCACTTTTGCGAGAAAAAGTACTCTAAAATTATGCTAAATTTATTTCATCTGTAAAAGCACCTCTGGGTTATGCGCTCCTAGCCTGCCTGGCTTTTGCTTTTCTTACGTTTGTGCTAGTTTCGCTAGTGAGGACCGAACTTAAAATGCCGGAAATCGGGGTTTCAGCTCAGTATCAACTAGTTCTGATTTATGTTTCAAATTAAGGGGATGCTCTTGAGTTTTCATTATGATAAGTTCGGGATATTTTGAGGGATATTTTATGGGGTGAAATGCTAGGTATCGCAAAGATTCAGCTATTGCATAATAGTTGTGTAGGTTTAGATTGTAACTTCCACGTTTAGAATAGTGATCAACATAAACTTTCTTCTATCATGAATTCCTTGTAAAACCGTTCTACCTTTATAGACCCTTACACGGCTTTCTTCCACTTTTCAAATAGACAAGTTAGGGAAAACCCGTCGACTCCGCTGGAAAGAACACCTTTAAAGTAGTAGGAGTGCCAAGTTTGAAAGTACGTCTTAGTGAACAAAGATAAAGCTCCCGAAAGTCGCGAAATTTTACAGACGTTTGATTCTTGCCCTCCAAACGACTGTAAATTTTCGCAAGTTTGCGAAGCTATTCTTCGCTCACTTAAGACGTATCGCTTTCAAACTTAGTACCGTAAAATTCCGAAAATAAGGTCCTTTTTGAGGAGCTTATTTTAGGAGGGGCTTATCTACGGAGGGAAATTTGCGTTTCAAAATCGATTGTGCTAGCTTTATATTTGGAATAAATTTACCGTTTTTGCTTTGTTTTCCTTTGTATTTGAGGGCAGTTTTTCAAGCACAAGCCCCCAGGGGCTTATATTTGGAGGGGCGATTTAACGGAGGGTTTTTTGCATTACCGGCTTGGGGGGCTTATTTTCGGCATTTTACGGAAGTTTTACTAATTTCATTAAATACGCTCTTTCCAGTGGTGCCGACGGATTTTTCCTTACTGGTCCATGTCAAAAGTTGGAAAACCGTGGAAAGGTCTACAATATACGCTTCCACGGCAACCCTCCTTATTGTAAAGCATGTTCAATTTAGGTTTTCAACAAAAGCCTGTTAACATTCAAGTCTCAAAAACCTTTGTCTGGATTTCCAGTTGACTACTTTTACCCTTAGTTTTTGTTAATTTTTAGCTTGTTTTCCATCGTACTACGATCAAGTTGATGTAGTTGGTGGTTTTTACTCGCAATTAAAGTTTTGACATAATAATTGGTGGACAGGTATGGATTGCGGGAATATCTCCCTATTCTCAGTCTACCGTTAAAGTAAATATCTGTTTCTTTAATTTTTGCTCTCTACCATACTCTGCACTTTAAATTTGTCCTCTGAGTTTTCCGTCACGTTTTAGTCGGTTTAATTTCGTCAAGAAAAAAAATTGACTAATCATTTTCGAGGGAGAAGCTTGACACCTTCTGTAGATCGGCGACTTCTGCATGGAAATTATTCAGTTTCAAACCGCCATTTTAGCACTTTTCTCATTGTGACAATTGTAAAAATTATATTTAGAAGCCAAATCTTTGTAATTTTTACATTACTCTCTCTCAAGCTTAAATGTGAAATCTAACTACAAAAATCGTTTTCACAAAGACAAGAACTCAAAGGTTTTTAATGCGAATGAGTCTCTTCTAGCAGTCACAGAAGAATTACGTGAGCATTGTTTTTTTTTCTGGCGATTATGAAAAGGAGGTGAATTGTAGCCAGCAAGTAGTGATGTTCGTAACGATCAAAAGCAGTTAAAAATCAAAGGTGTCACATCTTTTTTTTATGAAGAATTACTTACTAGTTCACATACAAATCGATACAAAGTTCTTTCAGCACAAGGATATACTCCCCAAGAAACTCATGACAATAACACAATACCTGTATTTCCCTGTTGTCTTTAGAGACCGTGTGATTTTCAACCATCACCACAATAGCCACGCTAAGGTTGACGCGTAGAGCGTAAACATTTGCGTATCCAAACATTAAGAACACACCAACCATGTAACGCACTGGAATAAAACACCCAGTACTCCATGGACTTGGACTCCTCGATTTTTTTACTTTTCTGTGACTTTCCGTCAGCCTGCTGTTTTTAAGTTCCATTTTTCTGGCATAATCCTTTTGATCAGCTGTACTTTGTCTTCATCAACATCTTGGTTCTATATAAAACAAATCACTTTATGTCTTGTACTTTCTCTTTCTATCGTAACTGCGGCCGTGGAAGGGATTGTAGCCAAGAACGTCAGAGAAGCAACCATAAACGGTACTCTAGCCTGCGAACCGCAGACGTATTTCCGGTCCTCGCTTCTCTCCCTCCGAAAGGAGAGAAGCGACGACCGGAAATACGTCTGCGGTTCGCAGGCTACCATAAAAGAACCTAGTCTGTGCAAAGTTCCATCTCTTTTTGTACAAGCCAAGAGCGAAGCTTTTATCGATTCAGGAAAATGTTATTCCTTTTAGTAACTGAGTTCTTCTGATCCCTGATATAACGGTTCATCAACAAGACGTCGTCTTTTTGGAGATGTGATATGAAACGTATGAATGTACATGAACAATATCAGGCTCTTTGTGCGTTATGGGTTGTGTTATAATTAATGACTAATTTCATATCAGCCGAATAATAATAATAAAAATAATTTACGATTATATAGCGCAAACCTCTATATGAATAGAAAGTACACCATTTGCCGCTTTTCGTTACCAGGAAATAACTTTTGTTTTGCGTCAAAAAATGAGTCAATAATGTAAATGTGTAATTATTACAGAAAATAAACTCCAATCGGTAGAACCCCGATAACT